GGTGTATTTTCGACCTGTATGTGTCGAAAATACATGGCGAGCTTAAAAAAAAAAAAAATTTCAAAATCGATGTTTTAGCTCAAAAAATACATGAATACATACCTGAATGGGTTCTCCTTGCTCGTAAACTACCATTCTATTGTCATTTGAGGCCATTTTGCAAGTTGTGTAAGGTTTTGATTTCTTTTGTTTTGGGGTTTTTTAGGAGGGTTTTTGGGGAGGGAGAAGAAGGAGGTGGAGGAGGTGAGGGGTTTGGGAGTGAGGAGGGAAATGTTTTTTTAGGTTTTTGATTATTTGGTTTTTAAGAAAGAAAAATAGTATTTGTAATATTATTTGGTTTTAATTTTCATTAAGGGTATTAAAGTAATTTCCAATTAATTATTTAATTTCTATTTTTTTGGTATTCAACTAAGCAAAAGTTAGTATTCAAAATAGTTGCCCCCCAAAAATAATGGTTCTATATTTTAAGGACAAGATTTGTGTATTTTCAACGAGTTTACCAACTTTCACGGGCTGAATCCCGTTACGATGCCTAGATCATAGCCATCATGACAGCATAATCCATCTCTATCCCAATCGTGAGGGAAAAGTGTAGTTATCCGCATCACAGTCCATGTTATCGTCTACAACCTCAAAGTTGTCGTACTTGGTCGTGCAAAGCAATTTGCTTTCGTCTTGCAGAATAAACAAAGCCCTCGTAAACCCTATGAACACTAGCTAGTGCATTTGAGTTTGTCGATAAACGGTTCGTTCTCGTGAAAGAGGTCATGGCCAATGGAGAGTCCACTCCTAAACTATCAAAGAGTGAATTCTGGAAGAGGTTTTGGGAGGGAATTAGGACTTTTCGTAATAAATCCATCAGCTTTAAGGATATTGTCGTAATTCCACTTGATCCAATAAATCACTTGAGTCCTCAAAGTTTACATTGATTTCACATTTGGTCTCTAATGTTAATAAAAAAACACATTTGGTCCCTTATGTTCCAATAATTTAACATTTTGGTCATTTTCGCCAATTTACCGTTAGTCCGTTAGTTAAGTCAATGATGGGCACACTCTTAATTCCGTTAGTTTTAACGAAAAAATGACTAAAAGTGTTGAATTTTTAAAACATAAGAGACCAAATGTATTTTTTATGAACATAGAGGACCAAATGTGGAATATGTGAAAACTTGAGGGACCAAAACTGTATTTTTCCGGATGGTTTAACTATTATCAGTGTAGAGCAAGGCGAGAGGAGGTAGATAAAAATGGCGGTTCTATCATCTCCATTTCACGCGACAACTGATTTCCTTTGCCCTAATTCTCATTTACTCAGCTTCCGCTGTAAGCCCACCTCCATTTCTCGCCACCGCCCTTTCATAATCAACTTCGCTTCAAGTAAGTAGCTGCAATTCCCCTAAATATTCGTGTAAAAAGATAGCAATTTTAATTTTCCTGTTTTTGATTTTACAATTCAGAACCGAAGAAGGAAATTCTTGATTATGACCAGAAGAGAGAGTTTCTTGAACAGTACGGTCTCAATCCTGACGAGTTCTTATCCAAACCCTCTCCAAAGGTTTCATTTCTTTAATACCACTGTGTGTGTGTGTGTGTGTGTGTTATTTTTTTTATTTTTTATTTTTTATTTTTTTTGAAGTTGTTTTGTTTTTGAATATAGACAAAGAGGAGAAAAGAGCAGGGTAATACAGGAAATGAAAACCATACACATCTGAAGGGGCCTAAGCCCCCTAGGGAGACTCACAAATTGCTTCAGGTTTGTGATTATATATTGCATTTGATGGACATTCTGTACTAGTTTAAAGTTTAAATTCGTCGGCATAATTATCCAGATTAATCAAGGTAGAAATATTGTAAGAGACTTAGGTTTGTAGAAACGGAATCCGAAACGAACTCGTTTTCGTCGTTTGGGAATATGGTCTGGTTGTAAGTAAAGCTCAAGATTATATTCTGTGCAAGTTCCTTTTCCGTTTTGTTTAAAAATCGTTATTTCGACTCGTTATGTTAGGTTCTTGGAGGAACAGCTCGTAGAAAGAAGTTGCTCTCACCGAAGAGTATGGATGTACGGCCTATGATGGAAGTTGTAAAGGGAGCAGCTTTTTCGATTTTGCAGGTGAATTCAACTTCTATATTTCAATAGTTAATATAATTTTTTTTCCCGGTTTATTCTTTTTCAAGCAAGAAATTACGGCATTGTAAAAACTGTTACAAAACAGGCTGCTGGTGGTTGTACCCAATATTTGAGGCCCGGGCGCTGGTTAGACTTGTACAGCGGTACGGGATCAGTAGGTATCGAAGCTATTAGCAGAGGATGCTCTGAGGTGCACTGTTACTAATCAACTTTGATTTTATCTTTTTATTACCAAATAACCAGTGACGATTTTCCTATAGGATCTCGATCGGCTTCCTTTGTTGTCTTTCTTGAAAAATATTTTCGGGTTTAATTTGGGAATTTGTTTTTAAGGTGCATTTTGTGGAGATGGATCCTTGGGTGGTATCGGACGTGCTACAGCCAAATTTGGAGTCGACTGGTTTTTTAGATGTTTCGGTTATACATAGTGTTCGTGTCGAAATCTTCTTGAAAAACGCAGAACGATTTGTAGGTGATTACATTCTTTAATTTTGATGATATATTCGATCCAGAATAGGGTATATACCCACACTTTGTGTATTTATTACATGATGAAATCTTGAATGAAAGACGGGATTGTATAGGGTTCTTACGTTGTTGGGATTTTATTACTGTAGGAAAAGATGGGGTGTTCGATTATATAAGCGTTACGCCTCCATATATGCTCGTTGATTATGCAGAACTGATGGATCAGGTTTCGAATTCGTCGGTTGTTGGAGAGAATACGTTTTTAGTAAGTTGGAACCGATTCAGTTTTTTTTTTTTGCTAATTATCATTTTTCTTTTCCTACTTGTTAATTTTTTTTATTTTTTATTTTCATCTCTGTGTATCCAGGTAGTCGAGTATCCTTTGAGAACTGACATGTTGGAGTCGTATGCGTGCTTAGTAAAGGTGGCTTAACTAACTAATGACTTAACCTTTTTTTTTTTATATATATCTTGTTTGAATACATCTGAAAAATCTTATATGTTTTATTCTTCGTTTAAAAAAAATGCAGATAGCTGATCGGAGGTTTGGAAGGACGCATCTAGCAATATACGGACCAAAGTGGGCACAAAAGAAGAGTAAGGTTGAGACATGAATAAACGTTGTTAAACAAATGGAAAGTACTAGAAACATTTGCATTGTCAAAAATTCCGATCTTGTCTGAAGATTAGAATCAAATTGCTGCTGAAGTGCTGTTCTATCATACAATTAACCATCATCCATTGGCTTAAAAGACACGATCAACTTAGAAGTTGGGGATTCAAAAATTGAGCGGTAATCCAGCTTAGGACAAATGCTGTAAAGTTGATTTAGAAAAAGACTGGATGAATTTTGGGTTGGTCGTGAAAAAAGACATAAATATCCTCGTCTTGTTGTTTTTTCGTCTTTTATGCGGTTTGTAACCCTATCCGATACTTTGAGTATCATTGCAGGAACTTCTCTTTAATTGTTCGACAACGAAACGGGGAAAAAGTGTGATGTTGGGATATTGGAATATTCACTTACTACTTTAATTTGAAGTTGCTGGTTTCGGCCTTCACAGAAAAAAAATAAAAAAAATCATTTACTATAAGAAATCTCTACATTCATACAATGCACTGATCTTTCTATCTGTGTTACAGTTAAATTTTACATGATCCGAGATCCTATACTAGGTTTAGTTAAGGTTGAAAGATTTCGACGGATAATATCTTACCTAGGTCAAGTTTGAACACTCTTGATTGAGGAGAACCGAATCCGAAACCGAAACCGAAACCGAACCCCCGTGAATTAACTTTATTGCGGCACAAAACTCGAAGCTGTTCCTTCTTTAGAGTGAGGGTAAGTGAGAAAAATAGGGAGGTCCCATAATAAAAATAAAAACATGCTAAAAATAAAGGGGAAGGGACCAATCAATATAAAGTAATTAAGAGACCTCTCAACTTTAACAGTGCTACTTCTACTACTACTACTCTTCATCTTCTTCTACCTCCATTTTCTTACCAAACATAGCTGCTCGTTAAGTACTAAACACTCTTGTCTTTTGCCTAAAACAGAGTTGCCGTCTTTATTCATTCTTCTCCGAACTAGAATTCTTGCGTAATGCTACTTTTTAGTGTCCGTCTCACACTTTTACCTTACTCATTACTGACTGTTTCTTGAGGTTCGTTTTACTCGGGAGAGTGAGGGTATGATAATGGGTAGTGGTGGTAGTAGTAGTAGTAGTAGAAAATTTACGAGCATGGCTGTTTTATCAGTTAGTTTTTTCTTCCTCTGTTTTTTGCTTCTTGTTGCGAGCTTAGCTGACAGGAATTACGGGAGGGGTATTAACGTCATTACAACCGCACCATCGGCCACGAATGTCAAGATTTCGAAACCATTAGAAACAACGGAGAAGAGCAACCTTGATTATGTTGTTGTTAGCAAGAGAAGAGTACCTAATGGACCTGATCCTATTCATAACAGGTATATATTTATATATGTACTTATTAATTTATGTAACAGCTCGTGTTAATTTATGCGTACTTAGAATATTCTAGAAGCTTCTGTATGAGATCGCAATTTCACACTCTTAACTGTCTTGTTATTTCAGGAGAGTAGGGGATTCTAAATTACCACCGACATAAGTGTAATTCTACCGAAGGGACGAAGGAGGTAAAGCACGACGAGCACACGCAATCGAAGGTGTGATTTTGCTCACTTCTGCATAATGATGCCGAATTTTTTTTTTTTTTAAAATGGGAATATCTTTTCTCTATACATATTATATTGTAAAGAAGTTCTTCAGTCCTAGTTTCGATACATATATAGAAAGCTTCTGTTATGCATTAATTCTCATCCCCCCTATATTTGTTTACCCTCCCATTTTGAACTCAAATGTGTATTGTTCATGGAATTTTGCTTTGCATGTATATATATATATATATATATATATATATATATATATATATATATATATATATATATGTGCAAACTCAAGAGTTGACGGTTATTTCTATTCTACACCCGGTGAAGACTATTACACCGGGTGTTTTTTTACCATTGATCTACACACGCCAATGTGGGTGTGTGTGTTTGTGTGTAAATGAATGGTAAAGATGTACCCGATGTATTCCAGCCGGTGCAGTATAGAATAAACCAGAGTTTGAGACGCTTCTTTTGTGGTAGCGTGTTCATGCAATAAAGGATTGTGGATTGGGTTAGTTTCCCTAATAAAGCATAAGCTAAAGTGGCTCTTCTTTCTACAATTATCATTTTGCCTTCAAATTTTGTTACTTACTTTAGTATTATTGTGGCTAAGCAGTGCCTGAAATTAAGGTTGTTTTACTATTTTATTAAATTAATAAAAGTAACTGCATATTCTTCTCCCTTTCTTTTTTGGGGTTTTTAATTAATTAATTTTCTTTATTATTTCAAGAAGTCCAAAAGTAAAAGAGATTCAAAACTCTGTTGCATGGGAGGCACAAATCACAAACCCCACGTCCACCAGTTTTTAAATTAAAGACTTTATTTTATCCTGTATTATATTTTTTCACTTTTTTTAATGTTAAGCAGCAAAATAGTTTAATTAGGCAATTATATATTTATCTAAATGTTACCAAAAGGTGGAACTAATAAAAATTCAAAAGACTGGCATCACAATTCACAAGAGCATACTATGAACAATTCGAAGCAGCTTTTTGTTACAACAATCTTGAATACAATTTATGCAGATGACAAAAATACAACTACAGTTAAACTTTTATAATAAATCAATAAAGTCGGGAATAGCAAAATTCTAATAATTTAGTGAGGTATTAAATTATCGAACTAATAATTTAGTAGATTTTTACTGAGTCGGGATCAGAAAAAGTTATTATCGAGGTTCTTCTGCATATATATACTTACCAAAAGGTGGAACATGTTCTTGGCAATAAGCAAATTCAAATTAATCACCACATGCTACAAAACCACAATCAAATAGGACTCTGTAATGGATCTTGTTTCCCAAACAAGAATGGAAATTCATCGTACCGCTCCGAAAACCCGTATTGTTCCTCAGCCATACTCTTCAACGATTCATAAACCCGATACATCGACCACCTCTCCTTCGGCTGAGACACGACGCAATTACACGCAATCCTCAAAAACCTCACAATCTCCTCTTCATAGCCACTCCCACATAACCGTTTATCAACAGCATCTTCAATCCGACCACCACCAACGAGCCGATTCACCCAATCAACTAAATTACCCTTATACCCTTCCTCCTCGATATCGGGGTTCACAGGTTTCAATCCGGTCCCCAATTCCAAAAGCACCACCCCAAAACTGTAACAATCCCCTTTCAAAGATGCTGACATCATAGTACTCGTACACTCCGGAGCAATGTATCCAATTTCACCCAAATCACCGTCGACAAAACCACTCTCGTTAGATTCCGACGAAGAATTAAGAAGCCTTGCCAAACCGAAATCCATTATCCTAGCGTCGAAATCCTCATCAAGAAGAACCACATTTGAGCTAATGTTGCGGTGCAAGATCGGCGGGCGGCAGCCATGGTGGAGCCAAGCCAGCCCTCTTGCAGCACCCAAAGCAACCCTAAACCTAGTCGGCCAATCCAATAACAGACCACCGTTGTAATTCTTATCGCCGCGTAAAAGCGAACCAAGAGTGCCGTTACACAAGTGTTTATAAACCAAGAGCTTCTGATCCTCAACCAAGCAAAACCCTAACAACGGCACTAAATTCGGATGCCTTAATTGACCCAACGTATTCATCTCCACTCTGAATTGTTTCTCCGCAATTTTACACGCGGTTAGCCGCTTAATCGCGAGAGCCGATCCGTCGGGTAAATCTGCTTTATAAGTAGTTCCTGTTCTGCTTGAGAAGATGATGTTTTCCTTGCTGAAGTTATTTGTGGCCGCCATTAAATCTGCCAATTTAACCTTCACAAGAGGCTTCTGGAACAGGATAACCTGTGTGAGTTTATGAGCTCTCAAAATCTCGGCCCAATTGGTACTGCTCACATCTTCTCTTCTTCCGATACCGTACCCTCTCTTGCTCCTCTTGCTCGATCTCACGAAGTAGAACCACCACAGGCCAAACCCTAGCAGCAGAGATGCGGCGGCGCCGAAAACCCCCGCCGCGGTAATGATTGCCAGACTTTTTTTACTCAATCCACCGCATTTCCCCAACGGCGCTCCGCAGAGGCCGCCGTTCCCGCCGAAATCGAGATCCAATTCGTAGCTGAACGACGGAACCCTACCGGATAGATAGTTGTTCGCGGCGGAGAATTTCTTCAGCCTCGTTAAACTCGATAATTGGTAGGGGAGATTCCCCGATAGCTGATTGTCGTCTAGAATCAAATTGTTCAAATACGAGCAGTTGGCGAGATCCTCCGGTATTGAACCGGTCAATCGATTTTGAGATAAATCGAGAGTGACCAAATACGGCAGCCATGTGCATATTTCGGGAGGGATCGAACCGGAGAGAGAATTACCGGCGAGATTCAGGACTTGGAGGCTGTGGCAGAACTGGAGAGAATCTGGAATATTCCCGGCGAGTCTGAAATCACGGAGCTCCAATCCGATCAGCCTGTTCTCCTGATCATTCCAGCACGAAGCGCCGACGAATTTGCAGATGAATCCGAGTGAACTGTTTGAAAAAATCCACGAACTCAGCTTACCGTCCGGGTCAGACAACGAGTTCTTCACTTCACGCAAGCACTTCACATCGTCTTCTCCGTAGGAAAAGGAGAACAGCAACAGTGAAAAAAGGAAGAGGAATCTGCTGCCACAGAAGAGAAGACGATTATTCATTATTGTGTGTGTGTGTGTGGATGTGGAAAAATGCAGAGTTGTTAATGGCGATGCATAATGTAGTAGTGCTTTTCCTGTAGATGAAAATGGATCATTTCTCTGCAACAGGGGTTTGTTTTCAATGGAGAAAATTATTAGTACGGGAATTTCATGTTTGACTCCAAATGGAGAAGATGATTACGACGTCGTTTCATCTTCAAATTCAGATTCAACCAAAATATATGGTTGGCAAAATGCAGTTTTGATCCTCTATGTTGGCCTATTTAGGAATTTAGTCCTATAACTTGTCAAGTTTCAGTTTTACATGCAATAACTTTGCAAATATAGTATTTTTTTCCCCCTATTTTGCATGATTTTTAATTTTATGATGTGACAAATATACTTGACGCATTTTACTTATATGGACGCTTGAAAATTTATAAATTCAACATGTAACTTACTATTTGTAGAACGTTAATTATATGAGACAACTCATCTATAAATCAAATTAGAGGAGCATTTATAATTTTCAAGTGTCCATACAAAAAAAATTCTACGAGTTTGTTAGGTACATCATTAAACGACGGCTAAAATTCAAAGTTCGAGTGAAATATGACTAAAAATACTAATTTTGCATAATTATTGCATGTAAAGTTGAAATATAATAACTTATAGGATTAAATCCCTAAAAAGATCAACATATAGGACCAAAATTACAATTTTCCCATATATTGTTTATCTAGGCAAGTTATATTCGAAAATTTGGGCTATTTGAAGTTAAATAGCACTAGTTTTTTAATTGGTGAAATAAAATTGTTAATAATATATATATATATATATATATATATATATATATATATATATATATATATATATATTATTACTCAAGTAAGGGATGACCTAGCAGTTGGAGCAAGTTCGAATACATCGTTAGCAAGAATATAGGTTTACTCGTACACTTAATTGTTTGTTCGTTCGATAAAAAATATTATAAATAAATAAATAATTGTTAATTGATTATGAAGGAAGTCAGTTGAATCATTAAAACTAACGTGTCGTTTGAGTGGTGTCCTTTTCTTTTTCTTTATCTAATTCAAAGTATTCTACTAATCCATCCAATTGAAGTGTCAAATTCATTTATTTATCATCTACATTTGAATAAGGACACATTGTATAGTAATTAACAACTATAATAATGAGTGTAATCGTCTGCATGGGTGTAGCTCAACTGGTTCCGGAGGTGGTAAGTTGGTGCAAGATCCTATGATCGAATTTTGGCAGCCGCGGTGTGGGAATTTCAACTCCAATGAGGGTTGGTTCCATGTGGACACCATGTCCGGGTCCGCTACCTTAACGGGCCGTTGAGTTACTGTTAGAATTATTTTGTGCAAATTAATTATAAATTTGTGTCCGATAAATTCCAGATTCAGTTTTAGCTACTGTTCTACTGTTTTACGAAGAGTTGCAACAGTTAATGGAACAGTAATAAAAAGACACAAATTTTAAAGTGGTTCGGATACAATTGTACCCTACATCCACGGGGACCTGCAAATGAAATTCACTAATTTTTAGTTTTACGAATACAGTAATAGGACTTAATCGAAAATGCAAAGACTCCCTCTTTGTCGACGCCGTTCTTGTATCCTACGCTGAATTGTGAATCTTCACTTTGCAGCACGTCCCTTTCCGCACGGTTGAAATTCCTTCAACGCTGAGTCCCTCAGTCGGCGGATCGACCTCCTCCCGAGATCTTCTGAGTTCTCCTCCCGAAGAACCGATCTTCTTTTCGCGTGAAAGAAGCAAATCTTTTGCTGTGTTTTTCTTCTCGAATAAGATCACAACTCAGGAGCAGCAACGTAAGAGCAGAAAAAGTTTTTCTCTCAAATAAAAGGGACGGTCTTCAATTACGTTGATGCTGCCCTTCTTATACTTCCTTAGGTGAATTACTAGAGCCCTACACAAAAGTGGAGCCCATTAGGTTATTTTATCTCACGTAAGAAACAAAGAGTTGTATAACAAAGGAAATTCTTTTCCAAATAAAATTCCTTGTTAAACAAAACACTTAGGCAATTAAATAAATTAATGACAAAATAAGAGTTTAAAGAACTAAGGAAACTTCCCTAGTTTTTATACACGGTTTTCACACACGTGTTGAAAACCCGAAATTAGAATCCTCTCGGATTCTAACAATCTCCCCCTTTGTCATCTATTTATTATAATCAAGTCCTCCCCCTTGATCAAATACCTGACAAAAACATTAGACTGCATAATAGAGTAACCGTTAGAACAGTTCAAAACAAAACATCAGTCAAAAGAAGAACAGAGTTAAGCCTAGCAGACTTTTAGAGGCAGTTGGAGCAACGACAGTTGGATCAGTAGTAGTTCCAGCGGCTGCATCAGCTCCCCCTGTATGCGGTTCCGTTGATGCTTCGTTGTCAACTCCCCCTGAAGAATAATCTCCCCCTTTCTGAGCAAGGGCAGTAAAATAGTCGAGTTTCTTCTTCGTAAAAACGACTTCGACAATCAGAGACCCCACTAGTTAGGTTGGCATAAAAATCATGAATCACTTGACTTTCAAAGTGAGAAAATCGAGTCACAGTAGCAAGAACACCAGCACGACGAAGTAGATCAGAAATACCAAAAGCATCAAACGACGGTCCTAAGGGACGTTCGGAGACAAAAGGTCGTCGACTTACCAGACGCCATCGGATTTGATTCGCTCGGAGAAAGAACCGAGAATTAAAGGCATCGACGGCAGATATAGGCACCACGGGATCGGGTGCAGAGTCATCAGAGGTGGTGGGTTGAGCGGAAGACGAGGCAGAGTGAGTAGCACGTCGACGGGAGCGACGGAGCGGCGGTGGTGTGGTGGCAGGGCCCTTGCCTTTGTTGACCGACGAGGATGGCGGCGGTGGGGGTGAAGCCGGTGCGGTGGTTGACGACGGCGGCGATGTCGGTTCAACTGGTGGTGGAGACGATTGGGCAGCCGGAGAGTGTGGCAGCGGAGAAGACGGTGGAGAATAGTTGAAGGGTGACGGCGGCGTCACTGGCGGCGACGGTGGCGTCACTAGCGACGATGGCGGTGGAGAAACCCTATGACCCACAACAACGGGCAGATTCCCAAAATTCTCAGCAGAGGCAGCCGTGAGAAGGAGCGGGGGCTCCCAAAAAGCAAGGGGCACGGCATCACATGGCTACCCGAAGACAGGGCGGTCATCGGAGCGGCGACGCGGCGGAGGACGTGGTTGCTGGTCGAGATGGTCGTCGTTTGGACGAGGAGGATGCACCACCGATGTTCTTTCGTTTTCCCATGATGATTTTCTTAATTCCCTTTTGGTTTGATTGACTTTTTTTTTTGGAAGTTGCTGCAAGTGAAGAAGAAGAAGCAGCAAGGCAGTAGGGAAGAAGAAGTACAGAAAATTGGGGAGAAAACAAAACGTGAAGGAGGGATTATGCAATGATGACTGTTGGTCTACTCATGGGTATTTTAGCAATTTAGGAAAACTATAGTGAAGAAATTGCAAATATTATTCTGCCAACAATGAGTACAATTTATGAAAACTAAATTCAGGTACAGCAACTCTCAACTTTCACATATGAAGCCCAACACAGTTCACATAAACTTCGAGAAGAAAAAAAATGCTCAGAACAGTGAGTTACTCCGAAGAAATATATTGCCGCCAAAAATTACGAACCCACCCCGGATTTTTTTTTTTTTTTTTTTTTTTTTTTTATTTAATAAATAAATAAATGCCTAACATGCAGAGGCAAATAACTAAGACGAAAAATAAACGTGAGAAGAAAAAAATGAGTGAATAAACACAAGTGAATAGGATACTATTAGGACTATCAAACCATGGGGTTTATCTTCAATTTTAACAAAAAACAAGCTCCAAGAGATAGACTAAGGAGACTAACAGCAAATTTAGTGTCCTTAAATCAAGCACAAGAACACTCTTATTAGGCAGCATACACACACTATCAAAGGTAGCTTTTTCATGAAGAGCAGAGCAATTAAAATAGCGAGATAGTTATGATCGTGCAATGTGTAGTCCCCTGGGCTTTCTAATTGAGTCGTGTAGTGAGTGTTCGGTCATGTGGTTTACCGGCTCGACTCAAAAAGGCTTCGAACTATTCACTGACCGCATATAAAATTTATAATGGTCGTGCAATGTGTAGTCCCTTGGGCTTTCTAATTGAGCCTTGTAGCGAGTTTTCGGCCACGTGATTTACTGACTCAACTCAAAAAGGCTTCGAACTATTCACAGACCAATTGATTGACATTTTATATATAGAATTAACGAAAATTCAAGAGTAGCTTTCACTCATTTGAAGCGGCAGCTTTTCCTTATGAGTGTGTTCAACCATGACAAGACTGTGAAGGGTAGTAAATATGCTAAAGCCTCTGTAGCTATCATTTGGGGATTGATGAAGTTCTACCTCACAAGATTCGAAAGTACAGATAGTATCCAATACACAAGGGGTCTCATCACATGCAATATGTCTAATGCATAACCTAGATGAACAAAATGCAGTATGCGTGATGTGTCCATAAAACTTTAAAAGTTGCAAGTCTGGACACAGACTGTTGCAACAGTTTATGCAACTGCACAGGTCAGACAATACAAATTCCAAGCGAATTTCGCAAGGAATCAAACCTTTGTGCATCTAGGGGTTTAGTAAAGATGTCAGCAAGTTGTTTCTCCGTTGTGACATACTCTAATGAGACAGTTCCTTCCTCTACAAGATTTCTAATGAAATGGTAGCGAATTTCAATATGCTTAGTTCGAGAGTGCTGTACTGGATTCTTGGAAATATTAATCGCACTCACATTGTCACAATAAATATGCAATAAATCTTGACTAATACCATAATCACATACCATTTGTTTCATCCATAAGAGTTGGGCACAACAACTACCAGCGGCGATATATTCCGATTCAGCAGTGGAAAGCGAGATACTATTCCGTTTTTTGCTGTACCAGGACACGAGATTGTTCCCAAGATAGAAACATCCTCCAGTTGTGCTTTTTCGATCGTCTGCATCACCTGCCCAATCAGCATCGCTAAAGCCTCGGGTTTGAATTCCTTCTTCTACCGGGCCAATGACTTGATCCACTGGATGATTCTTCTTGACTCTTCTTGAGGGTTCCTTGTGAGTTTGATCATCCAATTCGAGAGGCCTGACTTCAGCTTCGTCTCCTGTTTCAGAATTGACGTCACTTTCTTCTGAAATGGTAGAGGCTGCATCAACTGTTGGAACTGTTGGTGCGACACTGGAGCTGTTTTCCGATTCCTTTGTTGGTTCCTCTTCCAGTGGTCCTTTCCAAATTTCGTACGGAGTTTTAGTGGTACCTGGTCGAAGATAGACTCGATTTATGATATGACATGCAGTGTTAACTGCTTCTGCCCAAAAACGAGGAGCGATCTCCTTTGCGTTCATCATGACCCTGGCCATCTCTTGCAGAGTGCGATTTTTGCGTTCAACCACTCCATTTTGTTGAGGTGTTTTAGGTGCGGAGAATTCATGAGATACTCTTTTGTGCCAAAGCACTGTAGAGTCTGACAGACTGTTGAAACAGTTCATACCAGCAGAGACAAGAATATAGCAGTTGTCAGATGATCGAGTTCCTTGAATAACACAATTCTCATCTTTGTCTAATACTCGACATGCGAATTTGTTGAATCTGACTTCAAGATCTTGATCACATAGCTGGCTGATGCTTATCAGATTTGACGTGAGTCCTTCTACAAGTAGTACATTCTTCAGCTTTGGCAGATTCTCATGATTTAGCGATCCTTTCCCTAGCACTTCACCCTTTTTTCCGTTTCCAAAGGTAACAGCTCCACCGGTGATTTGTTGATAGTTTTTCAGAAACTCTTTAACACCGGTCATATGTCGTGAACACCCACTGTCAAAATACCAATCATTAGTAGTACTTGCTTTTAAAGAAGTAATCGCAGATAAGCATTTAGACGTGGACTTTTCAACCCAAATTTTTTGCTGAGGTCTATTGGAAATATCAATTTTATTTTTGGGTTTTTGAGAGGGTGAAGGAAAATAATCAGCCCTAGCAGAGTAAAGAGAACGAGCCACAAGCTTTTTCACAAGTTTTAAATATTTGAAACATCTAGGACGTATGTGACCTAGTTTTTGACAGAAAAAACAAGTGGGAATAAACTTTTTCTTTGAATCGTGTTTCGTTGCTTCAACAGTTGCAACTGTTTGTGAGACAGAAGCTTGTTTAACAAAGTTGATTTTTCTGTTTTGATCTTCCTTTTGCTTTAGATCAGCTTTGGGTAGCTGACTCCCTCCTATGCCTAGACGATTATAGTTTGGCTTGTTGTTGCTTAGGATTTCATCTAGATTACCTCTACCCAAGTTCAATTTTGCAATTGCTTCTTGAGTTTGAGTAAGTTTACCCTGCAAACTATTTTTCTCTTGATCACTAGATATGACCCTTTCCTCAAGAGTAGAGATTCTTACCTTTAGTGTCTTGTTTTCCTCTACAAGCACAAACTTCTCCTTTTCCAGGAAGTTATTTACCTTAACGACGTCGAGCCATTTTTGGTACATTTTTTCATATACCTCATTTACTTCATCCAAGGTTGGTTCTTCCTCATCACTGCTGCTGTTCGGATCCTCTGCAAAATAAGAATTTTCGTTTAGATTTTTGTCATAATCAGAACACATATTTTCATACCTGGATTCTGTTTCACAGTCTGTTGCAACAGTTGAAGCAACAGTTGATTCTGAGCTGTCCAGAGGAACTTTGCTGCTGAATGCTACAAAGTTAGTGACTTGATTGTTGTTTCCTTGGTCATCATCAGATTCTTCTTCATCGCTCCAACCAGTAGTAAGTGACATTTTCTTCTTTTTCTTCAGGGTGTTTGCGCATTCTGATTGAATGTGACCAAAGCCTTCGCATTCTCGACATTGTATTCTTCTTGGTTTTGACTCCTCTGAGTTATCTTGATTTGAATTTCTCCTAGAATTTTGAAAATTCACGGGTTTCCCTGTGCTTGGAAGATTTCCCCTTTTTTCGATCTTTTTGAGAAATTTCCCAAAATTTTTCGATAGTAGTGCCAAGGATTCTTCAACTGTTTGCTCATCTTCTTGAGTTGACGAATTTTGGGGCGTTGCATATGATGTTTCTGCTTGAAAGGCTATCTTCTTTTCTCTAGACTTTTCACGATGATTTTCACCATGATTGAGTTCTTGTGCTAGAAGTTTCCCCATGAGTTCGTCTAGTTTGAGCGTGTCAACGTCTCTGACTTCTTCAATGGCAGCAATTCGGTAAGCGAATCTTTCAGGTAATGAGCGCATCGCTTTTCTCACTAATTTGCTTTCTGAGTATGGTTCACCGAGTGCGTATGATTTTATTGGAGATATCACATAATTTAGCATGGAAGTCAGTGATCGTCTCATTCTCCTCCATCTTCAAATTTTCGAATTTGGTGGCCAACATCTGTAACTTGGATGTCCTTACAGTTGACGTTCCTTCGTATGTGACTTGAAGAATTTCCCAAGCTCTCTTTGCAGATTCACATGACGCTATTAGTTTAAATTGATTATCATCAACACCACTAAATATTGCGTTTAGGGCCCTCGAGTTGTAGTTTGCGAGTAGTATTTCTCCATCACTCCAATCTGCTTCTGGTTTGAATACTTCCTCTTTGTCTTCTCCTTTGATCATGGGAGGTGTCCAACCAGTTATGATGGCGCGCCATGCTCTCTCATCTATGGATTTGATAAACATCTTCATTTTTTATTTCCAGTATGAGTAGTTGGAGCCGATTAGAAGAGGTGGACGAGTAGTTGAAGATCCTTCTCGTTGAGTATTCATATCTGCACAAAATAAGAGTAATCAGTTCCCAAAATCTCACTAGATATATTTAGTGACAGGCTCTTGATGCCAATTGTTAGAATTATTTTGTGCAAATTAATTATAAATTTGTGTCCGATAAATTCCAGATTCAGTTTTAGCTACTGTTCTACTGTTTTACGAAGAGTTGCAACAGTTAATGGAACAGTAATAAAAAGACACAAATTTTAAAGTGGTTCGGATACAATTGTACCCTACATCCACGGGGACCTGCAAATGAAATTCACTAATTTTTAGTTTTACGAATACAGTAATAGGACTTAATCGAAAATGCAAAGACTCCCTCTTTGTCGACGCCGTTCTTGTATCCTACGCTGAATTGTGAATCTTCACTTTGCAGCACGTCCCTTTCCGCACGGTTGAAATTCCTTCAACGCTGAGTCCCTCAGTCGGCGGATCGACCTCCTCCCGAGATCTTCTGAGTTCTCCTCCCAAAGAACCGATCTTCTTTTCGCGTGAAAGAAGCAAATCTTTTGCTGTGTTTTTCTTCTCGAATAAGATCACAACTCAGGAGCAGCAACGTAAGAGCAGAAAAAGTTTTTCTCTCAAATAAAAGGGACGGTCTTCAATTACGTTGATGCTGCCCTTCTTATACTTCCTTAGGTGAATTACTAGAGCCCTACACAAAAGTGGAGCCCATTAGGTTATTTTATCTCACGTAAGAAACAAAGAGTTGTATAACAAAGGAAATTCTTTTCCAAATAAAATTCCTTGTTAAACAAAACACTTAGGCAATTAAATAAATTAATGACAAAATAAGAGTTTAAAGAACTAAGGAAACTTCCCTAGTTTTTATACACGGTTTTCACACACGTGTTGAAAACCCGAAATTAGAATCCTCTCGGATTCTAACAGTTACAATGATTTACATAACTCCATCAATCGTTGTCGGGGGTTCGGGTCCGCTACCTTAACGAGCCGTTGAGTTACTTAGAGTTTAGAAATACCTTTCAAAGGGTGAGTGTAATTATCGATACCACAAGGACCTTCAAGTAGTATAACTACGTTTATAAATTGTGTACAATAGTATAACCTATTTTTCCTGAAAAAAAATAATTATTTATTGTACAATTGGGCTATTGTTTAATAGCGACCCATTGGGAATTTGGGCCGTTTCTTAGTAAAGGCCCATTACTTACATTGTTAGAATGCATTATGTATTTATTCCCCTACTATTTGTTTACTTATCTTCTATTTGTTTGTAATATTAATTTTACTAATTATATTGTATAAAATTAATATCATTTTAGTTACATTATTTTAACAAATATTTATTTGTATAATAGCAATAATTAAATTTCCTAGTTTATTTGTCAAACTATTTATTTTATTACAAAAGTAATTCATTCATAAATAAAAATAAAAATTAATAAAGGAAAATGATCATATCTGCCTAATTTATGTACAAAACAGTGAAATATTTAGTATTAACAAAATAATTAATAAATCATAATTATTATTAACATTAAAATCGAATTTAATTGAACTAATATAAATGAATAATTGTAACATTTACCCGCGTCTTCGGCAACGAATTATTCGCGCTCACCCAATCCCGCCTCACGGTGTCACTGACGGTAATAAAATATGGAAGACAAGGGCAATTTCGTCAAAATCAACGAATATACTTTCCACAGTACTCGATCTTCCTCTTCTTCGTCGAAAAATCACCGATTCAAATCATGACAGAACCGGAGGTAAGTTCGAGAAATTGCCATTCAACGTACGGATCCGTTCTTCAGTTATGCTACGTGTTTGATTTAGTTTTTCTGATGCAGCAAATGGAGGCGCTGAAGAAGGTGTATGCGGAAATGATACTCCACACCGCCAAGGAAGCGGCGGCGCGTGTAATGGCGGCGGAACTTAGATCTCGGCAATTGGAGCAGGACATGGTTTCCGCCAAGGATGAAGCCGCGCGGATGCTCCTTCGTCTGAAACAAATGAATGATGCAAGGGTTAGTTCTTTCAATTTGTGAAGACGATTTTTTTTTTTTTTTTTTATTTATTGATTTGATCGATGAAATTGGTTAACGCTGTTCATACGTAGAGGACGGATTTCTATTTGTTGACCTTACCTTCTAGGAATAACTTTGCCTGGAGCACAATTGTGTGTGTGTGTGTGTGTGTGTGTGTGTGTGTGTTACTGTGATTTTAGTATTTTGTAAAAAAATATGTTCTTCAGCAACATTGCTCGTGTAGTCGTGTTCATTATTTTCACGATTACGTTTATTCTGTAGTGTGTGTGTGTATACGGTTATGGTTTCCGTGAACATTTTTGCGGTGTTCGATTCCTAATATTGATGTTTTGAATATCATCAAGAGCCTCAAATCGGAGAATATAAGATACTTTCAGCTAACGAATTTGGAGGACTCTGTTATTCTCGCTAGCTATTGGATGAGAGGAAATCAGTTCGAGTTTCAAAGTAATCGGCTATATTGTGAAACACATTCGCTATTTGAAAATTCTATTAATTTAGAGATTTCGAGTTAGGATTAAATGTGTAGAATTAATCGGTTTGGTTTTGGTTTCAGGTGAAAGAAGCAGAATTGACATCTTCGAATCAACAAAGGAAATTTGATGAACTTGAATCACAGCTAAATGAAGCGGAAAATATCATAGTAGACCTTAGAGCGGAATTGGACCAAGCACAGGATCAACTGATTGAGGTGAAGAACAAAAGATTGTCCTATATTAATCAGAAAGAAAATACAGAATCTCGTAATACGACACCATTTTCCACACCATCTCTAGATTGGAATACGCTCGACGAAAAGTGTTGCAGTCCTGCTAAGCAAAGTACAGAGTTCACCCCCGAATGCGATGTTTTCTCTGGTGACAGCCACCCTAATTTGGACGAAATAAAAGAGCCCGAGCTGCTAAAAAATGGGTGTACGCAGAGGATTTGTGCGATTGAGACGCTCTTAGTTAATGGAGAGAAGTCGGATCCTAGTAAGATATATGCTGTTGGAAGTACCTCTGTATCGCAAGAAAATGTTCAGAGTGGAAAAAACGAAGCTGTTTCTGTAGTCCGTAGAAGTCATAGAAAAAGAAAACTCAAATACTGGGATGATGTCATCGCTGCATGTGGATTGCGTAACTCTAATCAGTCGAAGAAACCTCGTCATCATCTTTCGCATTGTAATGCTGGCAAAGTGAAATCCGGTGAAGGTCGGTTTCTAGAAGAAGACGAGTGCCCAAAAAAATAAACTTGTATATGGTTGGTCGATTTTGTTGGTAAAAAAAAAAAAACGTGACAGCTTGATTTAATGTCTTTATTTAAGTATTTCATCGAAGGTAGATTGTAACGTGGAAGGTGGCTCTTCTCTTAATATATACCTTCATTTGGAAATGCAAGAAGAACTACATTATTTGCCGTTGATTAAATCGTACATAATTGATGGTGGTTGCTAATCGAGCCTACTAAATATATTCGTAACTCGATTGATGTGAGTTTCAATGTGAATAAATTTCCCAGTAGTCGATGAAATGTGGTAATTAATTTGAGATTTAGTTGCATCCTATAGTAGACTACATAAACTGTACGAGGTTGCTAATTTGTTCGGTATAAATCGGGAATTTCGAGACCAGAAATTCTAAACATTAACTTGTTTGACATTTTGTACTTGAGACACAATCTTTTTATCTTGAAAACTTTTTCATCCAAAAAGGAGAAAGTGAAAATCATTTCTGCTAAATATGTTGGGCCCAGTTTGTAGCATTGGCGTGCATTCATGTCCGGCACAAAATTGCACTTTCTCTGTTAAGTCTGCTTTCAAACCACGCTTTATTGATTAAATATTAAATTCCAAAAATCATATTTTTAATTCTTGTTTTTTATTTAACAGAATTACTTCTTTGGGATTGAACTAATGAGATGTTACACTGAGTTTCCTGGAAAAAAAAAAAACACACTTAAAATCGTGTTTTCGGATAATAATTAGTTAGCAAAAATGTGTAGTGCACAATCATTAAACTTACATGGAATAATAATTCAGGGTGCCGCATAAGAAATATAATAACATTTCAACATGCTGAAAAAGCCGGTGCACGCCTCAAAATCGAAACCTCGAAAAATTGCCAAGTTGGAAGCAAGACAATGATAAGCTTGTCCACTGCAAAACAAGAATGTCTTCTTGTCCCCTGTCGTTCTTTTTTTTTTGCTCCCATATGATTAAAAAAATTCCTCCCTATATAAAAGCCTCGATACCGGCCATTCTCTTAGCATGCTAAAAATAAAATAAAAAAATCACACTCAATTTCTAACTCTGCATATATTTGAAAGCGTGGATAAAATGGTGAAATACGAAACGGAAGACGATCAGTTAAAAGCGGTGAGTTTCGCAGCTGGAACAGCCGCGTGTATTGCTTGCATCGAACGTGCAGTTACGGTGTTTGTGCATTGGCGTGTGTGGGCGTTTCTTGCTCTTAACCTCTTGCTTTTAGCTATTCTCTTCACTTCTAAATCCCAAAAATCATCCTCCAACGAAATTAATCGAGAAGAAGATGGTGCTACTTATTCAAAATTCAAGAGGGAGAAGAACAAGAAGATGATAAAACAAGAATGTAGCCAATTGTTGGTTTCGATTGATGGTGGTCGAAACCTAGTGGAAAACGAAACGAAGATCGCAGACAACGAATATGAAACGATAAACAAGGAAGAAGAAGAAGAAGAAGATGGTGCAAAGAAAGAAGATTACGATCAGCTTTCCGAGGAGGAATTGAACGAGAAAGTGGAGGCCTTTATTACTATGTTCAGACAGCAATACTTGGTTTCTGATGTAAAAGTGAACAAGAGCTGTGGGCTACATTGTATTGCCAAGAATGTAACCATGACATCGAACCAAGTCAATTCTAGTCAACGTTTATCTCTCACCTAGTAAAAGGTGAAAGAAACGTATTTGATTTTACGCACTGACTAATCGAGTCTTGGTTTTATCTAAACATACAATCTTTGAATGGATGTCCGACACAAGTGAGTATGATTTATCTTCCTAATCGTACGAACTTTGCTATAAAATTGAGTACGTGCGATTTTTACTCTAAATGGAATTCCCCATTTGACAAGATTCTCGTTTGCATTCTTTTTGTGAAATCGTATCGTATCATATCAGATAAAATGGGAACCAGCATCAAATTTTTATCTTGCAATAGCTGTATGGTACATAACACAAGTGCACCCCCACAACCTAATCTTGTCCGGACAATTTTATTTTACTTTCGTTTTCTCATTAATTATACGGCTCAAATTATAGCGAAGAGACATTCGTAAATTGAATGAGGTTGACAGATTTCTGCAACCTCATTTTACCAACTAGAAGAATGTCTCTACTTGCGAAAGCTACGTCGTTTAGTAGGTACCTCATTAAAGTTCAACAATTGCCATTCAATCATTTATACATGCTGATAGCATATACAACAGTAGTGAAATACTTTATAATACTTAATATTCAAACGAACTCTAACTCGTAGAAATTTATACGAATTCGAGCTCCAAAATATAAGTTTATTGAGCTCAAGTTATTTACACCCTTATTTCTCATCCACCAAAAGTACGATTGCAATTACATTTACTTATTTACCTAATTTGCTAGTTCGTTGATGATGTTCTGGCTACTGTACGTAAGAAATACTTGAATATGTTGTTTGATGTTAATCATGTTAGAATTATCGTACATACATACGAATCCCAAGAACTAACATGCTTGAATCAACGAGAATTAAACATAAACATAAACACGGAAGCGTACCTTACATCATGTAATCGAATCTTCGAATCTCCACCGGATTTGGGATAGGTCTTCCAAAGAATCCGCAGAGAATTAAACATAAACATAAACACGGAAGCGTACCTTACATCATGTAATCGAATCTTCGAATCTCCACCGGATTTGGGATAGGTCTTCCAAAGAATCCGCAGTTCCTTATTTTTCTCTCTAACGATGGATTTTAGAAGAGACGGAATGGTTGCGTTTCTTTGGGGACCACGACCCTTTATATAACTGTAGAGTCCAGTTATATTATAATTGTGATTCAGCCCCATCAATAAATCACAACTAAGCCCTAATTGTCTCTACACATTAGGCCCATAATTATAGTTTAATACCCATAAGTCCAACCCAATAACCTTTATTAGATCACAATTAATTTGGACTTTCTTTAAGATAGCCATACACATTTACGTCACATATGTGAGCCCACATAATTATTGAAATAATCCCAACAATCTCCCACTTGGGCCACATATGTTTTATATCTTATAAATGTGTACACCTTATGAGCTCAAATATTGCTATCATATGAAAAGGTATTCCTTACAATCTCGTCCATTGACCATACTGATATAGGACTAAAGAGGCTTTCGTCACATTGAGCGTGTCTAAACCCAACAGTAATCACGTATACCAATATAGCCAAACGACATAGATCAAATCATGGTGTGTAGCATGGAAATTACATATAATGTGATCTTAACATGCCTATTTCCAACTGGTCCTACTTTAAACTTTATTGAGACCAAACCTTAACATAATTGTACAAAGTGTAGCCAAATACTTTATTTCTGCAGAAAACCAAATACACAAAATTGTGTCCAAACATGTCATAGAGCTACCAAAATGTATTTATATGCACACATATATATAAACTCCCACTGAACCAAAATATCCTTAAATGATATAACACCTACATGGGCAATGCTCATGAATACCTTATGTGTTAATCCTTTAGTAAGCGGATCCGCAATTGTGGAGTTTATCTTAATATGCTCTATGTACTGTTCACTTTGTACCTTTAACAACAAAGAACTTTCACAAGCTCTTGTTGTTGTTCGAAAGTATAGCTGTAAAATATTGTCACCGTATAACTTTAATACAAGTACACATGTGCAACCTAATAACGAGTGTTTATAGCTATATTCAAAATAAGATGCCAAAAATTACCATAACTTAACCATCGTGAAAAGAGCTTAAAGTGTTCGCTTAACACCCATGTCAAAATAGCTCAATCACTTAGGTTTACATTAACCAAAATGGATCTATACTTTATACGCATCATAAAAAAATCAAAATCATGAATAAACCACACGATCTCCCAAAATATCTGATTTTGATAAATGAGCATATGTATATAACTTACATTCCCTATAATTACTGTATAACCCATTTGGCTGCTTTGCTAAATGATCCAGTTTATAGGGTTATTCAAATATCTGCCTAACTTTATGCACACCTTAACCAAATGCGTACATTCTTTTATTTAAAATATTTATTGGGCATTGAATTGAGACTAAACAAGTCTCCTTTGTTGTGAGATTATCTCCCACTGATCCTGGAGCATGTACAATCATTAACTTTATTTATCTCAAAGTACATATGAGATAATTATAAGCTTAGGATTGTAACATCATTAACGGAAATTTTAATTTCCTTAATGGACTACTTTAGTTTGCAATCAATATCCTTCAAATCTTTAAAATTTTATGGTTGCACTTTATTGTTCCAAAAATATTACTATTTGAGAAACATATTCCTTGTGTCCATAAATCTCTTAATAGAGTCGATATGAGTGAAATATTTAATGACTAAACGTACCATATATCTTTCAATATTGCCCATTTGAATTACATTTGGTCTCAATTATTTGTAACCAAAGAATTTCACACCTTATGGCAATTTGATAAGATCCTAATATCTTGTCATTCTAAATTTCAACTCATCTTTAATGCTTTATTATTTTAAGGTTGTTGAGTTTGCTCTTCAAGAAACAATTATCAAAACTTGATTGGGGAATTGTTCAACATTGTCTTATTAAAACTTCAAATCTACTTTTCAAACAATGACAAGTATAAAGACATGTACATTGTCAAAAGCAGTGTATTAGGAATCGAATTGATTCCTCTTTAAAGATAATGTCTACAATCTAAATTTCTCCCCTCAAACTCAACATCCTTAAAAGATTTTAAATTTCCCCTTATAAAAAATAATATATTGCAGGACTTAATGTTTCTCCTAAGGGGATCACTATTTCAAATCCCAACTTTTGCTTACTTGAATACCAAAAAAATAAAAAATAAATAATTAATTGTAAATTACTTTAATACCCTTAATGAAATTAAAACTAAAAAAATATTACAAATACTATTTTTCTTTCTTAAATACCAAATAATCAAAAACTCAAAAAACCATTTCCCTCCTTCTCCACCTCCTTCTTCTCCCTCCCCAAAAACCCTTCTAAAAAATCTTCCTCACAACAAACCCTTCTAAAAAATCTCACAACAAACCCTTCTAAAAAATATCAAAACTAAAGAAATTAAACCTCACAAAACGTATAAATTGAGTTATAAGACAATAATATGTAGTATATA